TTGTGTAACTCCTACTTAAAAAAAAAAAAAAAAAAAAAAGCTCAACACTTTCTAGGAATCAGAAAAAATGTGAGATGAGAAATAGAAAAGATTAAAACTTTCTCAGGGAATATACAATAGAGATATAGAAAGTTCCTTTCTTTGAAGAGGAAGAAGAGATGAAGTTTTATCCAAAGAAGGAAGAAGAGAGGATTTGGCTAAAGGGAAGCTAACGAATAGGCATCGAGGAAGAGAAGTGAAGTGTACTGTTGTCTTTCATTGATTGGTCTCCTTCTCTCTTGGACCGTCTTTCTTATCCCACACGCTACTTACTCACGTGTATCTCACGCACTTATTGAATCCGTTTGTTTTATATCTCTCACGTAGGGACCCATCACTGGTTGTGCAGTTTGCCACAAGCTTTTCATTTTTTTAAATTTTTCCGGCATTAATTGTGATGATGTCATACCATTTTCTTAATCATCTCTACTTAACCTACTTAATTAATTAACTTACTTAGCTGATTTTTTGCGGAATTTTCTTAATTTATTTTTTTTCCAATAAATGCGAGTATTATGTGAACTGTGAAGCATATGTATGTATTATTTCTTGTTAGCATTTATTTCTTGTATTGAAATTATTGAAGGTTTTTTTTTTATGTATGTGTGTATACATAAAGATGAGATTGTACCTTACGTTTGTAATTGGTAAATAACTCATCAAAAACAAATTTAACTCAACTTCTTTCGAAAGATATTGGAGTTCTCTAGTAGAACAAGGAAGCTGGGTGGATTTTTGTAAATGTCAACTTCAGTTTTATATTACTTACGTATAGTAACTTGATAAAAAAAAATAGTTAATACGAATGATTCTTTTGTGTATACTTTAAAGTCTATTAACTAATCATTAGTTTCTTAGAAAAAATGTTGAACCAGAAATAATAAAGGATTAAGTGATAGAGAAACGAATAATAAAGAGTATGAATGTAGAAATTGATTTGTGGTGCATTTTACTTTCTTTTAATGGTAAATTAATAATAATCAAACTTCCAAAATGAAAGACAAAAGTAGCATCATCATCCCTTTAAGTTGTATCGATGGGAGCCATAAACTAAACCACACATATCTGGTCCACTTTTTTTTGTCTTCTAGTCTCTAAGTCTTTGCCACAAAACTAAGATAATTTAAATTAATGCTCTCATCATTATAGAGAATGAGCTCATCGGATGCTTTTCATCTTGAGATTATACATACGTTTGATTCACCTAATATATTAATTTCAAGTGGTATCTTCTATTCCTGGTTGACCAATAAGCTAACATGAAGCTGAAAACTAACAAAACCAACACTTTATAATTTCAATTGAAATGTTCAAATTAAAATCACGAATTAGAAGTTTATCAACAATTATTTTTAAAAAATATTGCTCCATTTTATAAGCTGAACGACTCCAACAAAATTATATTGCATTCCACTTTCCTGGAAATTTGAGCATATTATAATTAATGTGTGGATTTTGTATATGTTTGAAAAAATCAGATTGTTTTTTTTTCATGTGTGCATAGAAATCCAGATACGATTTGAAAATGAGTAATTTATATGAAAAATCAAATGAAACTACTATTGTAAGCTAACAACACAAGTTTGAATTTGTGTAAAACAATTTCAGAATGTGATGGAGTGGGAAGTGACGAATAGTCATGTTAGAGACTCCTTTGAACAATCAAGTGGTGGTACAATGTCTCGATCCCCATATAAATATTTTTTTTATCAACAAATTAATTTTCTTTTGGCATAATATATAATTCTAAACAATAATTGGCTGGTGGGGTATAATATTCAATCACTTTAAGCCCATTCTTTATTGAAATTATTTTTCTTTATATCATCCCCCAACACCACTACATTTTCCACATCCAAACTTCAATCATTATGTAATCCTAATTTTTTTTTTTTTTTTGGGCAAAATAATCCTAATTTTTTTTTAAAACTCACAATTGAGTATAAAATAGAATTGTTAGAAGTACCATAAATCTAATCATCACTAATTTTTCATTCATTATTATTTCTAAAATTGAATAATTTCATAATATAAGCCTAGAAGTGTATATAATTTCACTAAAGGTTTAATATATCAATTCATTGTATTTGCCAATAACTCAATCTATATATATAACCACACAAAAGGTGACCACTTTTGTCATATGTTTCGCTGTCTCCCTACTTCACGAGTTGGGTCCATTCATTGCTCAATTATTTAGCTTACACAAATGATTCTCACTTTTCTGCACACTTCTTCGTAGATATTTTTTCTCCGACAAAAAAAAATAGATAAATGGGCCTCGTACTAGGCCTTATAAATTTGGGCTAATAAGAAAAGCCCAAAACTGACTCAAAAAAGCGCGTCAAAGGGTACGTACAAGAAGTTAGAAGACGATAGTTTTCACATGTTTCATGCTTCGTTTTTCGTCCATTAATGGCTTCTTGAATTCTTCTACTTTCTTCGTTCTCCAGAAAGCGTGGAGGAAAGGATCTGCATTTGCTTCAAGCTCAACGTCGTTGAGGTTTGCTCTCTGTTTCTTCCCTACCCAGATTTTGATTTCCTTCGTCAAAGTTCATATCTTTCTGATTTGATTCCATTTTCTCAAGTAATTTAATACTTTAATCCGTGAATTATGATAATGGGTTTGCTTCCATTTTGCTCATGATCAAACCCTTTTGATCTTTGATGAAATTAGGTTAAAAATGATATATTTTTTTCTTTAAACAGATATTGAGATGGAAGAAGGAAACCCTAGTTTCTCAGTAGATGAAGCACTTGTGGGGATTGGGTTTGGGAAGTTTCAACTCTATGTTCTTGCTTACGCTGGAATGGCTTGGGTTGCTGAGGCTATGGAGATGATGCTTCTTTCTTTCGTTGGACCTGCTGTTCAGTCTCTATGGAATCTCTCTGCAAGAGAGGAGAGTTTGATTACTAGTGTGGTTTTTGCTGGTATGCTCATTGGAGCTTACTCTTGGGGTATTGTTGCTGATAAACATGGACGCAGGTAACTTATATGAAGCTTCTTGGGGGGGGGGGGTTTAGTATGTGCCTTTTGTTTATAAAGTAGGTTGATTGTCTAGAAGAGAGTTAGATTGTTCGGTTTGTACACTATGATTCCTTGTAACTCTTGAATTGAATGATCTCTGAAGGTGTATGTTTAGTTTATGATTGCTATGTTCACAATGGATTTTTTCAGCTATTTTCTTTTCTGATTTACGACCCATTGTGGGTTAATTTACTCTGATGTTAGTGCTTTGCCTGAGACTTTTTCAGCTATTTTCTTGGGGTATTGTTGCTGACAAACATGGCCGCAGGTAACTTACCTTAAAGCTTACTGGGGGGGGGGGGGGTTAGTATGTGCCCTTTGTTTATAAAGTAGGTTTATTGTCTGGAAGAGGGTTAGATTGTTCGGTTTGTTCATTATGATTCCTTCTAACTCTTGGAAGTTGTATGTTAAGTCTATGAAGGCCTCTTTTTGATTCCTATGTACCTTGTCAATGTTTAAATGGACTTTTTCAGCCATTTTCTTATGTTTTTGATGATGCATTGTGGTTTTCATTTGATCTGATGTTTGTGCTTTGTCTGCTTTAGGAAAGGGTTTCTCATAACAGCGGTGGTGACTTTCGTAGCTGGTTTCTTGAGCTCATTTGCACCAAACTACATGTCGTTGATCGTTCTACGCTGTTTGGTTGGTCTTGGCCTGGGAGGAGGTCCTGTTCTTGTCTCTTGGTATCTTGAATTCATCCCTGCGCCAAACCGAGGGACTTGGATGGTTGTTTTCTCAGCTTTCTGGACCGTTGGAACCGTATTCGAGGCTTCACTCGCTTGGGTACTACAACTAATGACTTTCTTTGCTCCTTTTCCATCTTCTCACATCACTATAACAATCTTTTGCAGATAATCATGCCAAGCTTAGGTTGGAGGTGGCTGCTTGTACTCTCCTCTGTACCTTCATCGTTGCTTCTTCTGTTCTATAGGTGGACCCCTGAGTCTCCTCGTTACTTAATCCTACAAGGCCGTAAAGCTGAAGCTCTATCCATACTGGAAAAGATTGCGAGAATGAACGGAAGCCCACTACCTAAGGGTGTTCTACGCTCAGAGATTGAAGAGAATAAAAGCCTTCCACCAACAGAAAACACTCATCTTCTCAAGCCTGAAGAAGCTGCTGCTCCTTTGTCCAAGATAGTAGTATCTGAAAACAATGGACCAGGCTTTATGTTGCTAACTCTTCTATCTCCAGAGCTAATCAAACGGACTTTGCTACTATGGGTTGTATTCTTTGGAAACGCCTTTGCATACTACGGCGTTGTCCTTCTCACCACAGAGCTCAACAATTCCCAAAACAGTTGCAATCCAACCGGAAAAGTGTTACAACATACTTCAAACGATGTTAACTACAAAGACGTTTTCATCGCCAGTTTTGCAGGTAACACACATCAATCAATATACTTCATGTTGTCACAGTTCTAAAAAAAGTCTTAATCCTTTTTGCTTCTTGATTCAGAGTTTCCAGGGCTACTTATATCAGCAGCAATGGTGGACAAACTTGGACGCAAAGTGACAATGTCATCAACGTTATTCCTCTGCTGCATCTTCCTTCTTCCTCTCTTAACTCATCAATCACCAACCATAACCACAGCTCTTCTCTTCGGCGGCCGTATCTGCGTCTCGGCAGCTTTCGCGGTGGTTTACATCTACGCACCTGAGATATATCCCACAGCTGTAAGAACAACCGGAGTAGGAGTGGCTAGCTCTGTGGGGAGAATAGGAGGAGTACTATGTCCACTAGTAGCCGTTGGATTGGTTCATGGATGTCATCAGACAGTGGCAGTTCTTCTCTTTGTAGTTGTGATGTTTGTCTCAGGAATCTGCGTTTGTCTCTTCCCCTTTGAGACCAGTGGTCGTGAACTGACGGATACTATCTCTCCGTCTAAGCAGGCAGCTTCATCTTCCTCTGTATAGCAGATTCTTTTTTAAAACCATTGTAAATGTTTTAGTTGTTGAAGGAAACAGAACAAGAAAACAGAGTGATAGAAAGTTTACACATGACAGCTTTATAGAAATGCAGAAAATCCAGGATTGGATCTATAGTTTTTTTATTGTATTAGAAATAGAGAATATTATAAAGAAAAATAAAGATTCTCGGAGTTCCCAAGGGAAAAATCTCTCAATAAAATCATAGTAATTTCCATTTTGAACAGAGGAAAAGAGTGGAGTCACTAAAAAGAAGAAGGCGAAAGGGTGCACCTTTTTTATTAAATAAGGTAAAGCTTTTTACTTTGCTTGCATCATTAGTCATTACAATAAAAGTTGTTTTTAGCAAGTTGAAAAAAAATTAACAGTAACTCTACGTATATGGAAAGATCTATCTCTCCTCTGTTCTTTCCTACATATAAAGACTCTGTTTTTAATTTTCTTTTGGTTTTGAATCAGATCCTTATTCTCCTCCTCGGGCCTTACGATCTGATTCATGGCAACGACTCCTCCATCACACGCCACAGATCTTATTACTTCAGGTATAGGGCCCCATCTTATCAATTATCCTTAAAACGTTTCAGATTCTGGTCTTAAATTTGATTCCTTTTACGTTTTGATCTCTCTCTCTGCCTTTCCTTTTCAAGTTTTGTTGTGTGATCTGTGGTTAAGGGTTCGTTGATTTGGAATTAGGATTTTTGTTTACTTGTGGTAATGGTCTCATGATTTTCACTGGTGCTTGAGGTTATTCTTTATTGAAAGTGTATAACTTTATCTCCTTTTGATAAGATCTGTGGATCAGGACTACTCTTTCTATCTTAGCTTGAAAGCTTGCTTTTTGTTTGTGTGTGTGTGTGTGTGTGTGTGTTGTTAGTTCAATCTTGAGTATAGGATCTGTTTTTGTTTGCTCATCTTTCATCTTGTTCATGAATCATTCCACCCACTTATTTGAGTTTTACTGGTTATGAATGAACACAGAGGAGCAGCCTGCTAATCTGGATATCATGAAGGAGCAGGTATGGTCTCTGATGAAGATTCAGGGAGAAAATAAGTTTAAATCTCTGAATCTGTTTTTTTTCTTTTATGCAGCCTGTTGCGGCAAACAATGAGACATCTGCCTCTTTTAAGTCCTCCCAGGAGGCTGCAGTTGTAGTTCATCCAGCAAAAGTTTCTCCACTATCTGCACCTTATGGTTTATCAGGTGACTTTGCTGGACACTTACCTAGCAGCATCCTCTCTCCTCAAGCACAAGGCTTTTACTATAGAGGTTGGTTTATGCTTCATGTACCCTCTCTTTTTTCTTGCTTCTGTGATCAGATCTTGAACCTCCAAATACACTGTGGTCATGGAGTTTGTGTATTGGAATAGATGTTTCATTTTTAGCAAAAGCCTTCTATAACCCATGTCTTACTAGTATAGTTCTTGAACTGATTTGAAGGATGTTTAGAAGCTAATGGTGATTACTTTTTATGTTTGGGAGTCAGGTTATGAAACCCCCACAGGCGAATGGGACGAGTATTCTTCCTATGTCAATATTGAAGGATTAGACATCAACTCTCCTGTGTGTACTATAAAACTTCTCTTTTGAGATTTCTTCTTCCAAAACTTTCATTTTTTGCTCATATTCTTTCTCTGATAAAAAAAAAAACAGGTTGGCTTCAATGAGAATGCTTCTATGCTCTACCAAACAGGATATGGATACAACCCTCAGATGCCATATGGACCATATTCCCCTGCTGCAACCCCCTTACCTTCTGAGGGACAGTTATATTCTTCGCAACAGTTTCCATTTTCAGGTGCATCACCTTATTACCAGCAGGTAGTTCCTCCTAGCATGCAATATATTTCTTCTCCAACTCAGCCCGACCTCACCAGCCTTGTTGACCAACAAGGTGATAACATCGGAGGACCACGACCATCATACCAGCCTCATCCTATTGGACCGTTTAATGGAAACCAGACAAACCTTGGTTTTCCTGAGTGGCAGCAAGGTTTTGACGGGGGAATATGGTCTGATTGGTCCAAGCCTTCTGATATGCACAGACATTCTTCTTCTTTTTCACCGGCTTTATCTCCTCAGCCACTCGGTTCCTTTGGATCATATGGCCACAACATTCCCATGGTTTGTCTAATGCATGGATTGTTTTGATAAACCAGTGGTTGTATATTGGACTATTTGTTGAATAGTGAATCCTTTTCTTTAATTTTTTCAGGGGTCACAACAACAGAGATCATTTTACGGTCGTGGTCAAGGATCTAACTATGGAAGTAGACTAAATTATAATGTGGGTATGGGAAACCAAAGCTGGATTGGTGTTGACAACACTCGAGGGCGTGGAAGAGTTAGTGATCTATCCCTTGGTGGCGGTTATAATGGTAACTATGATATCCTCAACGAGCAAAACCGAGGACCAAGGGCTTTAAAGCCCAAGACTCAGGTATCAGAAGAGCTTGATTCTTCTGCTGATGCTAAGAAAAATAACAAAGGCAGTCCCAAAGAACATGAGGAAGCCAACAACAAGACTTCTGATTTTGTCACTGACTACAGTGACGCTAAGCTCTTCATAATCAAGTCTTACAGTGAAGACAACGTACACAAGAGCATCAAATACAATGTATGGGCTAGCACTCCTAATGGTAATAAAAAGCTTGATGCTGCTTATCGTGAGGCCAAAGATCAGAAAGAACCGTGCCCAGTGTTTCTTCTGTTTTCTGTAAGAGTCTAATCCTTATGTGTGTATGCAATTGCCTTCCTTCTGCAGATTTTCTTACAGTGTTGTAATTTCAGGTAAACGCGAGTTCTCAGTTCTGTGGAGTAGCGGAGATGATAGGACCTGTGGATTTTGATAAGAGCGTTGATTACTGGCAACAAGACAAATGGAGTGGACAGTTCCCAGTGAAGTGGCACATGATTAAAGATGTTCCAAACAGCCAGTTTCGACACATTATATTGGAGAACAATGACAATAAGCCTGTGACTAATAGTCGAGACACTCAAGAAGTAAGCCTCTCAAGCTTTCTTGTCCTTATCTTTTAAACCACATGCAGAATCATAATCGAAAAAAAACTACAGGTGAAACTGGAACAAGGCATTGAGATGCTGAAGATTTTCAAGAACTACGATGCTGACACTTCAATCTTGGATGATTTTGGGTTTTATGAAGAGAGGGAGAAAATAATCCAAGAAAGGAAATCAAGAAGACAGCCAAGCTTGCCATCTGCCGTAGGAGAAAACGAACATAAACCCGCTTCTGCTGCATTGCAGACAGATTTTATCAAGAACATGTCCAAAAGTTTTGCTCAAGTTGTCCGGTTGGACGAGGGAAGCAAAGAAGCAGGAAAAGCGAGTTCATCTCCAGATGCAATCACAACAACCGTAGCAGTCTCTTCTGGTTAATCCAACTAGTAAGTAAAAGGCACAATCAATTAGCAAAGACTTTATGTTTTCAATTTCCATAATGATGTTTTGTTTGTTCTAAGAAGGGTGGGGGTTTTCCATAATGGCCAGGTCTTGTTTTTGTGTAAAGTAAGCTTCTTTTCGCCCTGTGTTCTATTCCCGGGGGTATTTAGCCAATTTGATTTAATTCCCTCGTTTTTAATGTTCTGTACCCTTTTTCTTCGGGGTTGATAGAAGAAGAAGAAGATGATGTATCAAAGACAATATAAATGTTGCTCTTGTAAAGCTGCTTCATATGTCTTTGCAGGCAATATTTAATAATGATGCAGATTACACCTATCAATCAGAGCTCTCAGCTTTCTTCATCTCCAGATTTTGTTTCTTTGTTGGTTTTTCTTTCCCCACATAATCTTTTAGCTTTGAGTCTGATTGTGAAGGAGACAAGAAAGTCAATGAAAGTCATTTCCAAATGATGTATCAAAGACTATACATTGTGCTTATACACATATTATTTTCATATTTTCTCTAATTCAGTAAAGAAAAGAAAGAGAGATTGTTGTTGGGACACTAGAGTGTGTGGTTGATAAGCATGAATTACCAATAGTTGTGGCTAATGAATCACTTTTTTTTTTGGTATTATCCATGTCAGAGGAATAAATAAAGATTTGGGATATATTTGTAGATCAGATCAGTGCTGGCTTCTGAGTTCTGACCTCTGGTTATCATGTAGACTGATCTGATCTAAGTTGATATATTATAATATTCTTTTAATAGGGGGGAAGTAAAGAATAACAAAAAGGGGATAAAGTGTAACAAAAAGAAAACAAGGGCCAGAAGGAAACAAAAAATTTAGTCCCAGTGAATGGGACTTTTACATGAACAATGAATACAGGAAACAGTGGGATGAGACTGTGGTTGATCATGAGCAGTTGCACTTGTTATAGCTTATCTCTGGTCTATGTTATATGTTATTGAACTTGCCTTTTAGCTTATAGTTTTTGCTCTTTGGTTATTATTAGGAATGTGATCACAATATGGTGCCACAACAGAGGAAGTATGTACGAGTAAGCTTATAGTTTTGTATACCTTTCATGAGAAGACATTACATGTATGTTAACGTGAATGTGTAACATATATATTCAGACAAGCCATCTGGAATGTTGTTTCTTCCTGCTTCTGCGGGAAACAAACTGTGTTGTTTGATGATTGACACGTGTGGTGTTACTTGAATATACGTTGAAACAACTTTGGTTGTGTTTGCAGTTAGTTCGGACTTGGACACCAGTTGTGGTCTGCATCATTTTTAGCTGTACATTTCTCTATTCACACGTCCAGGTTTATTCTCCTTTTCACTCAATAACGTCATTTCTCCAAAACAAAAACATAAAAAAAAACTAACAGAAGAAACTGAATTTGCCATTTTTGGTTACTGCCACTCTGTTTCCAAATTTGTTTTTTTTTCTTTCATGACCTAACCCTAGCTTCTTCTCCTTTGGTTTTCGTGTGTTTCCCTTTCATGACCTAGCAGATAGCAGATATTGATCTCTAACCACAAAAGTGTCAATCATGGCACCTAATCTTCAGCCACTATTACTCTTCATCGCATGTTTTGGGGTCTTCACTTCTATTGTTCTTGCAAAAACAGAAAGCCAAGACGGTAAGTGTCTTGTAAGATAACAAATCTCATAAATGGTTATATCTAATATGGATTATTTTTGTAGTGTCGGCTCTTAATGATGCTTATAAGAGCATGAACTCTCCATCAAAACTCAATGGTTGGTCTTCAAGTGGAGGTGATCCTTGTGGTGACTCATGGGATGGCATTACTTGCAAGGGCTCTTCTGTTACTGAAATGTTTGTATACTTTCCTCTCTTATCTTATCAGTAGTACCCTCTTCAAGTCTTTCATTGATTCTGATTCTGATTCTTTATTCCTTTTTATGTTTCTTTGTAGAAAGGTGTCAGGACGTGGACTTAGTGGATCTTTAGGGTACCAGCTTGCAAACTTGAAATCACTCACTTACCTGTGAGAAAGCTTTCCACATTCCAATACATCTCCTTAATCTCTATGATCATCAGGCTTATGTTCTGTGTTGTCATTGTAAACAGTGATGTAAGCAAGAATAATCTTAACGGAAACTTACCCTATCAGCTTCCGGAGAATCTTGTTTATCTGTAAGTACATGTTTCTGTTCTTCATCTTCTTTTACTAACACAGTGTATATCAGATTAACTGTGAAACTTTCTTTCAATGTAGAGATACCTCTGAGAATGACTTTAACAGTAATGTGCCATATTCTGTATCTCTCATGAACGACCTCACTTACCTGTAAGCCATAGACACTTACTTGAATTCTTTTCACAAGTATCAGTTTGCTTCATACCGTTCTTGTTTTTTTTGCTCAGGAACTTTGGTCGTAACAACCTCAATGGTGAACTTAGTGACATGTTTCAAAAGCTTTCAAAACTTGAAACAATGTAAGTCACATATACACACACATATGGTAACTGTGAGAGATTTCATTAACTTCATGTTTTTGCAGTGATCTATCTTCAAATCAACTCACAGGAAAGTTACCACAGAGTTTTGCCAATCTAACTGGACTTAAAACACTGTAAGAGAATAAGATAACTGAAAGTAGTTCTTGTACTTATCACTCACCTTACTATTTATAGTTATTAACTTGCTTCTTTAGGCATTTGCAAGAAAACCAATTCAAAGGGTCTATAAATGCACTCAGGGACCTCCCTCAAATAGATGATGTGTAAGTACTGTGTAACACAGAGTTTCTATCCCTTTCCTTCATTAACGTTTCTTATGAATCTTGCCATTGCAGAAACGTTGCAAACAATCAATTTACTGGTTGGATACCAAACGAGCTGAAGAGCATTAGCAACCTTGAGTAAGTTTCATCTCTCACTCTCTCTTACACACAATCAAAAGACATAGTCAAAAACATTTTTCTTGGTCAGAACTGGAGGAAACCGTTGGTCAAGCAGTAGAGCACCCTCACCACCTCCAGGGACTCGCCGTGTAGACAGAAACTCTGGAGGCGTTGGAGTAAACAACAAGGCTCTGACCACAGGACTTATAGTAGCAGTATCTACTATAGGTGGACTCCTTTTCACTGCAGGAGTGATTGCATTGTTCGCTAGAAGAAAGAACTCTCATCATTCTTCTCACTTTTTCGACGAAGAGAAAGGAGGAGGAACCAACAGAAGCAAACCACTCTTCACACCACAACCCTCTCAGATGCTTCATTTTGACTCTACGGATGACTTAAAAGGACAAAAGACAGTTGATTCTAACACTTTGACAGAGACAAAGCCTTCTTCTGTTAACAGAACATCTTCTGTCAGTTTCAAGAACACTCCTATTTTTCATCTCATACCTTCTTATCAAGTGGTTGCAACACCTGATCGTTTCTTCAAGCCAGAAGTTAAAGTGTTTACCCTCACGGAGTTGCAGAACTCTGCGTCTTGTTTCTCACCGAATCGCCTTATTGGCCAAGGAACTCTTGGACGTGTTTATAAAGCTAAATATGAAGATGGAAGGGTTTGTTCTTTTTTCCCTCCTTTTCATTCAAACTTTTAACTCTTGTTTTTGATCATGTTATGTTTAAAACAGAAATATGCAGTGAAAGAGATTGATTCTTCACTATTAGGAAAAGGGAATCAAGAAGAGTTTTCACACATAGTGTCAAACATCTCGAGCATTCACCACCAGAATATAGCAGAGCTTGTTGGTTATTGTTCAGAACAAGGAAGGAACATGCTTGTTTATGATTATTTCACAAGTGGTTCCCTTAACAGATTTCTTCACCAGACTGATGGTTTCAGCAGACCATTAACTTGGAACACAAGAATCCGAATCGCTCTTGGAACTGCTCAAGCTATAGAGTAATTTAGTTTAACCCTTTCTTTCAAAATATAAATCCTCTAACTAACTAACTACATTCTTGTTTTTTTCAGGTACCTTCATGAAGTTTGTTCACCTCCATTAGTTCACAAGAACATCAAGTCATCAAACATTTTACTAGACAGTGAGCTAACTCCTCATCTCTCAGACTATGGCTTGGCAAACTTTCACCATGTGAGCTTCTTATAAAAATTATTAATATACTAATGATACCATAGTAGATTAATTAATGTCTTCTTTCTTGAAAAAAATGCAGCGGACAAGTCGGAATCTTGGAGTTGGATACAATGCTCCAGAATGCGCAGATCCCAAGGCTTACACATTAAAGAGCGATGTCTACAGCTTTGGTGTGGTGATGCTGGAGCTACTAACTGGTCGAATGCCTTATGACAGGTTCAGATATTAAACATTTCTTTAGAATATAGTTCTCTTATATAAGTACTGAAAATGTTTGCCTCTAATCTTCAGTGATAGGCCGAAAGCAGAACAGTCTTTAGTTCTTTGGGTAAAGCCAAAGCTTAAAGATATGGACACTCTGGAGGAGATGGTTGATCCTGCTTTGTGTGGACTCTACGCTCCAGAATCTATCTCGGCATTCGCTGATATAGTTTCCATCTGTGTAATGGTAAAGTCATTGGCGGTTTCTCTCTGTGTTATTGTTTATATATGTTTTCAGACTTTTTTGTAAGTTCAATGTTTGTTATTAATGTTTTCTTGTAGTCGGAGCCGGGGCTTAGGCCACCAATGTCAAATGTGGTGGAGTCATTGAAGAGACTAGTGTAGTCTAGTAGTGCATCAAGTTGTGTATGCCCTAGAGAAGAAAAGGAGAGTAATAACTCTTTGGGAGATTGAGGCTGGAAACCTGAGAAACTTATGATCAAACTCAAGATGAAGAAGCTATTGGATTCAGGTTTGTATAGAGAGATTGGTGGAGGAAAAGAGAGAGGCATAGATTGTATTATTTGTTTTTTTTTTCTGTTTCAGATCATATGATGTTTAACATGTAGGTTATTTTCTTATACATTGAGAAAAGGAAAAAGAAAAAACTTAGTGTCACCAATAACACTAGATTTGAGTGAGAATGTGAGAATCTATAAACCAATAACACTAAACTCTAAGAATTCTAAAAATCATTATAAATTTAGTTCTCACTAAGACCCTTAAGTCTCTGTTTTTGTCAGACAATGGCTACTACTACTCTCTGTCTCACAATATCATCGCATAAACATCAATATAACATATGCCTTTTATGATAGTGACATTTTAACTTATGGTCAGTGGTCAAAGATACCACCACCAAGACCATAATTTGAATTATGATCATAGTACGTATGCCAATCAAAGATACCACCACCAAGACCATAATTTAACTTATGAAGCCATGTGGATATGCTCATAGCCACTGAAGCAATACGCCACTGGCATATACATAGTCATCATCAATTGAAAAGTCCAACATTGGTTTCCAAACTTCAGTACACGTGTGGATAAAATCTTGTTTAGCTTTAACATTTGTTCCATTATTATGAAATCTTTTGATTCTAATTTAGCAGCTTCTGCTGAATTTGGATTCTGAACTCGTTGTGTACTCTGCTACAAGCTTGGAGAAAGAAGAAGACTTGTCTTCAAGCAATCTCGCCGGTGAATCATGTTCTTTGATAAGCCCTGCACTTAGGATCACGAGAAAAACATTAATACAAGTCTTCATACTATTAAAAACAAACGAAGTGTATGAAATGAGTCATGAGTTCAGGACCTTGGTCTAGGAGCAAGACCATATCGCTGTCTATAACAGATGAGATTCTGTGTGCGATTGTTACCACCGTACAATCCGTAAAGTGTTGCCTAAGAGTCTCTTGGATCAGATTATCAGTCGCAGTGTCAACGGAAGCAGTGGCTTCATCAAGAACCAATACTTTGCTTCTCTTCAGCAAGACTCTTCCCAGGCACACCAGTTGTCTCTGACCAACACTCCAGTTCTGTCCATTCTCACTAACAGGGGAATCTAGTTTTAGTTCTTTCTTCCTTACTTCATCCCCGAGCTGACACTTGTCGAGTGCCTCCCATATTTGGTCATCACTGTATTCCTCAAGAGGGTCCAAGTTACTTCTCACAGTTCCTTCAAACATGGTTGGATCTTGAGGTATGATACTAAGTCTTGAACGCAAGTCATGCAACCCAATGGTCAATATATTCACTCCATCGATTCTGATTTCTCCAGCTGTTGGTTCCACAATCCTGAAGAGGGTTTGAATCAGAGTGGACTTGCCACATCCTGTTCTTCCAACTATTCCTGTTTTCAAACCTCCTGGGAAAGTACATGTCAGTCCATGCAGGACCATAGGCAAATGTGGCCCATACCGCACTTGGAGATTACTAATAGTAATCTCTCCACGAGATGGCCATGACTTCTCAGGCCGAGCTGATTCAATCACAAGAGACGGTTCACTAGGGATGTCTATGTACTGAAGCATTCTCTCCACAGATATCATTTTGTTCTCAAGATCACAAAGTGTCCATACTAAAGTTGATTGCAAGCTGTTTAGATTGAGTGCATATGTAATAGCCAATCCTGCAAAGCCTATAAGAAAGACGAGGAACATTCTCAATTGTGAATCTGAACCAAAACAAAAGAAATGATAAAAGGTCAGTGACTTACTTGGATTAACTGTCCCTTCAGGAGCAGAAACTACGATAACAAGTGATAACGCAAATGCGATAGTGGATAAGAGTTCAAGGCGGAAGCAGAGCCATTCCATTGCACCAGTGGAATGGAACCTCAGCCGAGAAAGACAGTCGCTGAGTTTCATGATGTCACCGAGGAACCTCGGTTCTTGATCAAAGCTTCTGATGGTTGTTACACCTGAGAGTGTTTCTGAAAAATGATGTACCAAAGGTGATCTGCTTATTCCAGCTAATCTCGCAAGTTCACGAGCTGCAGATATGTAATATTGCTGTGTGCATAGAGACCATTAATAAGTAAGAGTGAGAACCACACAAGAACAGCATGTTTCAGGATTATAGACAATACCCGGTACCAGGTACTTGCAGCGACGACAGGGATGAAGATGATAAGGACCTGCCAAGCGACCTGTATCATCACTCCCATAATCCCCAAAATGTTAATAGCAGCAATAGCAACATACGCAAATTGACCCGGTAATCTCAAGTCCACCACACTTTGGTCTGTAGAAGCCTAAAACAAAGATTGTAAAAAAAAAAAACAGAGTAATCATGTAAATGAATTTATCATTCATGTAACCAAGCATATGGAGATACTTACTCTATTCAAGATTCTTCCCATTGGTGTGACATCAAAGAATGACATGGAAGCACGGAACACACGGAGATGCATTTGTGTGAAGAGCTCAGTAGCCATCTTGAAACCAGTCATCGATACCAACAACGCTCTAACGAGTATGCACAAGGAACTCGCGATGGCTAGAACAACATAGACTAGAATCAGTGTAAAGCCGCTCACCGGAGGTTCAAGATCTTTGGAAACAGGAGTCACCCATGTCATCCAATAGTTGCTCCCAATGTTTAGAACCTGAAAGAGAATCTGTACTAGCAATATAATAGGAATCACTGCTCCTCCATATGCTAGTGCCATGTATTTTTTGTACACAGTGAACCCAACTTTTCCTTTCTCCCTTTCCTCTTCTTGAACTAGTTGTCCTCTTGGCTTACTACCAGAATCTTTCTCTAGCTTTTCTTCATCATTGGGTGCTTCTTTTTCTTTGTTTGTAGTTGATCCTGATGAAGCACAGCCGTGTTCATATGTATCAACTGTTGCTAAGGCGTCAGTGTGAGCTCCCACAAGCTCCATGAAGTCTGTTCCTGAATCGAGAATTTCATTGTATCTCCCTGCTTGAGTTATCTTTCCTTCTTTCATAACCTACCAAAATGGTTATTTGATTCATAACTATGTATTAAGTACCATCACGCAAACGCAATATAGTAGAGAGGAGACAAGTTACAAACCAGTATAAGATCAGCTTCAGGCAGAAATTCAACTTGATGAGTGACGTATATGACAGTCTTGTCTTTCAGAATCCCCAGAATGACTTCCTGTTACAAAGAACAATAAGCACAAAGGTAATGATGGTAAGCGTGTAAAGAAAAGGAAACGATTTATTACCTTGAAGAGATGTGATCCTGTATGAGCATCTACTGCACTAAAAGGATCATCAAACAGATAAATATCTGCGTCTTGATAGAGAGCACGAGCGATTTGTATACGTTGCTTCTGTCCACCGCTTAGATTGATACCTCTTTCTCCAATAACCGTCTGGTCATGGAAAGGAAGCAACTCCAAGTCCTTGTTCAAAGAACATGCTTCAAGCACTCTCTCGTAACATTCTCTTTCCATTGGCTTACCAAACAGAATATTATCCTCAACTTTGCCGCTTTGGATCCAAGGAGATTGTGCAACGTATGCCTTTTTTCCAAAGACCTTAACAGTTCCAGATATCTTGGGAACTTCACCAAGTATGGATGAGAGTAAGCTTGATTTACCCGAGCCAACGGTGCCACAAACAGCTACATTCATCCCCTGAGATACTTCAAAACTCACGTCTCTCAGTGTCGGGATTGAGGAAGAGTCATCCCAAGAGAAAGAACCATTGCTGACTTCCAGAGCCATCTCTGAACTTCTACAAGTATGTCTCTCCACAACATCTTTCTGCAAATCATCCAGACAGAGAAAAGATGCAATCCTGCCAAGAGACACCTTAACCTGAACAAACATAGAGATTGTTTCAGGAAGTTTGTAGATTGGGCTTTGCAGAATCCGGAAAGTTGCAAGAGCCGCCAGTATCTTCCCTGATTCAAGAGGAATCTTGAGCAAGATACAAGCGCCAAAAGCTGTTGCAGATATAAAAGAAGGTGCAGTCCACAAAACAGAGCTCATAGCGGCTGAGTTATACACAAATTTCTTAAGCCAGCCTGCTTCGACATGTCTAAGGTCAAGAATCTTAGAAAGGAACTTCATCTCCCACCCTTGAAGCTTGAGAATCCTCATGTTAAGTAACACCTCAGATGTTTTCTTCATCCTGTTGTCTTTGGCCTTCATCAGATTTCCCTGAAACTTATCTTCCAGCTTGGCAAAGGGATAATTTGCCAGCATAACTAAAATAAAGGCGGGGAAAGCTGCAATTGATCCAAGTCCGAGGCTTTTGTACAAGATCCATAAGGCCAGACAAACTTGTAAAACAAGTATCCACGGGTCATGCATAAACCAAGTAAAAGCATTTAACCTGTCAGCATCTACTGCCATGAGGTTTATAATCTCGCCACTGGTTTGTCCTTGCTTTGAATGACATGGAAGGGTCAAGCCCTTCTCGTAGATCATTGAAACCAAGACAGCTTTCATCCCAAGTCCAGCTTTTGCCCCCCTGAAGAACCAATGCCTCCGAGTTTGGCATTCCACAAGCTTGGCGACAAAGAAAACTGTCACTAAAACATACCCTTGGTACTTATATTGCCTTTGACCGTTCAGGTACTGAACAAAACTATCCATGAGATACGGTGCAACATAGGAAGACATCGTGTAGACAAAAGCAAACAGAAATGACAAGAGAATATCTCTCCACACTGACAGGAAGAGTGCCTTGACAAGCTTAAACGTGGTGATCCTTCTCACACCATCGTCCCATTCAAGCTTACTCCTGAATACTCGAAACAGGTTCTCAGCTCTGTCACTGCTGTCAACTTGAGGAACATCCTTGCTGTCTATGATTTTCTCGTTTCCTAAGGTAACCAAAGGACTCATCCAAGAGAAACTCACGAGGCTTAGAAACCCAGCTTTTGAAAACGGTGTAGTTACCTCATCACACACTTCAGCGCTACTCAATAATGGTTCTTCGAGTAGGTTGCTTCTCTCGCCTTCTCCACTCTTCCACAAGCACGAACAACAGAGAAACAAGCCAGCGCAAACGCCCATTAAGTCAGACACTGCATTGTGAACTGACACCAGTTTTTGCTTCTTGTACAGAACGAAGTCTGCCACAAGACGGTAGCAAGAAAGCAAGAAATAGACAACCCACCAGACTCTAAGCAAATATGGTAACTTTTGCTCATGAGGATCAGT